TAGGAAACAAAACTTCCAGAACACGGCCACACAGCCCGGAAGACCCACACCAGCCATTGTATGCCGGCCGTGAAAGCCTTCAACAATACAACGAGGAATTAGTTCTCAGGTTTTATACAAAATATCCAGTTTGCATCTTGATCAAAACACAAATTAGCACAACTCCTTTGGATTGGATGGTGCCTAAATCATTGCAATAAATAAATGGGCAGACGGATGTTCCAAATGTGCAATTTTCTGAATTTCACAGTGCTGTTTGCAACTGAATAAATGCATACAAAAATGCATCTACTAAGAGCAAAATGCACAGAAAAGCCTAGGTTGGTAGAAGTACAAACAAAAGCATATTATAGCAAAGAAAAGTCACTTGAAAAATGGGAGCATGCTAGGAAAAATAGTTTTAAAAGTGATTTTTCAAAATAGTGTACTAAAATATGCAGACATCTTATGGACTTCTTTTTTACTGAATTCTGAGACTGATGTAGAAATAAGCCAAAATGGGAATACCTACATCCTGGCAGTCTGATCTACGTAATAGTCTTTGCTTTCCTGTAGAAGAATATTAATTTCCCTCTATAAACTATGCAGTTCCTAATTTATGCTAGTGAACAGATCTGACATTGATGCAATGAAGCCATGGAAAAGACTTACCGGGAGTGCCCAGGCGGTTACAACAATGCAAAGAAACACAATTGTTTTCTCCATCCTCACTGACAGGCACAGCCTGACCTTAGAAACAGGCTGCAAATAAATAGATCATTCAATGAACCTGAAATCCAAAGACACTGTAGAATGTGTACAGTGATGTGTACAGTTTTGAGGACATTGTATTATACTATTTGGGACAGACTGAAAGGAAAATGGAACATTTAAGCAATGGGGTGTGCATGTTGCAGACAGGAATGCTCCTGCTGAGGGTTCTTTCCTGGATACTCCATCCCCTCCCCTCCCCTCCTCTCCCCCAACAGCTGGCCAGCAGTCTTTGCCATAGAGCATGCTCTGAACTCACTGGCCTTTGTTGGGTCTCTCCCCACCAACCCTTAAGCCAAGGACTTTTTAAAAAAAAGATACTATTTTGTACTTTCCAAAGTTGGGGTGCCAACAGGTTGGCTGATATCTGCCTATGGGGCTGGAGGGTTGTATGGTTGTGGCTACATAGGAAACATACTTGGACAGCCAAGCAATGTTTTGGTGACCAGAGACTGCACTAAATGGGGGGTACAAGGTCTATAGTGGGTGGTGTGAGGATGCAGACTGGTTGTGGCCAACTCACATGTGTGGGATTAGCATTTTTTCTTGCTGTCTTCCACCCTCTTTTCCACCCAATTTTAAAATGCTGATACAGTTTATCTCTGAATATTCTGGCTTAGCAAACTGACTTTTACTGAGTCAAACCTTTGTTTGGTCCCTGCTTTAATATACAGTATATCAGCTAACAATAGTAAAAAAAAAAAAAGAGAGAGAGAGATAGTAAAGATAAATAAGAAAGATAAAAAGTAAGAGAGACTGGTCTACAAATCCAGTGTTGTTCCCTCTGAATAAACTCTTCAAGATTACACATTTCAAAGGTCTTTCTCAGTTTTATTGAAACCTAATCATGTCCCATTCCATAATCTCAACAAACCCTTCCAAATTAGTTCAGTCAGCCTCAATTTCTGTCAACAGCTGCTGAAAATACGTTTTTTTTTTTTTTTTGCTTGTTTTTAAATGTTTGATTGATCAAGCCTGCCATTGCTGCAGTTTAGGCTGTTGCTTATACTCTACCTGAACCAAGGCTTTAACATTAATTACAATTAATTAAAATGAGAATGAGCACTGTATTATATTATTGTGATGCATTTTATGTATTACTTATTTAGAAACATTTTGGGTACAGAAACAGATTGCTATTGTTGTTGCTGCTGCTGTGGTTATTTTCTATACACTTTTCACTGAAAGACTTTGAATATTAATGGGCATATCTGGAAGCCTTACTTCACTGTAGGCAACTGTAAAAAATCAGAAGGGCCAACACCCTACCACCGTCACCATCTTTGGTCTGCTTCCATTCTATTCAGTTGACTGGGATGTGATCAATTTATCTGTACAAAAGACTTACTTTCATTCTCAGAAGTTCCAAAATAAAACATTTGAGACTGATTTCACTGAAGATACACATTGCTTCAATTCACATCATGCATATGATGCAACTGCTATGTGCACATTAGCGGTTTCTGCCTTCAAAAATAACATACATGAAGGCTTAATCTGATAGCTCACTTCTTCCAACATGCTAAGATAGCACACTGACCTACAAAATATCCTATCCAAGATTACACTAATGAGCTATACAAAGCATACTGCTTTCCATCAAGTGTGAGGAATGTAATATACTCCAACTTTAATGTGAAACACATCTCCGCCTTGCAGCAGCTACTCCAGCTTTCTCACTGGAAACTGTTTGATGCCACAGGACACCCAGAGTATGAAAACAGGTTGGATGGAGGGAGTGATTCTTGCTTTTGCTGTTTTTTTTTCTTTTCTCACAATCCTTCCCCAGACAAGGATTGTCTGAGTTATGGTTGTATTTACAAAGCCTTGTGATACAGATTTGCACATTGTACAATGTCATCAAAAGCTTTTCTCTGGAGTTATTCAAACGTCTTAACTACAACACTACTGTATATTCAATGGCAAGGGACTGTTCAGTATTTTCTCTTTGCCATTTTGACATGCATACTAGCAGAAAAGAGATCTGAAATGTTTCCCCAAGAGAGGAAAGAGAAAGGAATATTAAGATTTCATTCTGCATGCAACTGGACATTTCTTGCAGTTGCATACTCACAGATAGACCTACTGAGCGGGAAGAAATCCCTCATCTCATATACCGAGTTATCTAAATTATGCTGCATCTTAAACTTTAAATTGGGCTCTCATCCTTGAAAGCAAATGTCACAATAAATCTATTAACCTCTAAGGCATCATGACTCCTTCCTGTTGTTCTAATAGAAATAAAATAGGTGATGGTCAAACTCTGTGATTTCTTACCTTGACTTCCAAGAAAGGCACTACTTCTGAGATCTCAAAACACTGCAGCAAGTCTGGTGGAAATTTTCCCTGTCACCTTTGAACCTTCTGAAATTTAAACTCTTGCCTGGGTAAGATACTAACCAATCATTGCTCTTGGGGCGCTGTACGATGCAACTTTGGTGGTGAAGTACATATTAACTGCCCACGCTTCCTTAACTGGACAACAGGCTTTCCTAGCCCCCAAAATCAACCCGGTTCCAGTGTGACTAGACTGCTTTCTGTCCACTTAATTAAAAAGCTCACATGAAACGAGTTTACGCTCTCTTAAATATATAGAATCAGCTGGCTACAGTAGCGAGCTCTGCCTCCAGACACGGTGACCTAGACATTTTCTTCTCCATTGTGGTAATTCAGCTTTATAATCAACTTTCTCCAGGGAATAGCCTTTCTTGGTGCATCCCCTGGTTTGTTTGAGATGGCATTAATTAACCAAATAGCGTGATAAAAATTGCCCAATTGATGTGTCATGATACATTCAATCTCTCGTTATGTACACTAAAAGGATACAAGCGTGGGAGTTGGTGAAAGTTAATAGATTATCCAGTAAACCCGTTAATATGGGAGACAGAAACCTCTGTACAATACGTTCAGTCCTATATATATCTATGCAGTCCTAAGTCCTAATTAGTTCAGCAAGACTTACTCTCAATTAAATAAGGTTGCAGTTGAAATGTTCCAATTTTCGAGAATTTGATAAAGCCTATCCAAAGGTTCTTTTTATTTCACCACCCATCCCTGACAGTTCCCTGGAGAAAGTTTGCAGATATGCGGGTGTATATATTTAAGAAATCAAAGCAAGCCATCAAATTGATATCCGTTCTCCATCATGGTCAGCCAAAAACTCCTGGACAGCTGACACGCAGAGTATAAGGATGATTATTCTCCCAGTGGTTTGCCTCCAGTATATTCCCATGTGATGGTGAACACACACCAGTACACACTGGACAGTGTTGATGTAGAAAATCCTTGCAGAGTGCAATGTAAGAATGGACTATATGTATTATCTGGGTGACAAGCAAACAGTTGGCAAGAACGTTTATTGATCTACAGTATCTTACTGATGTTATAAAAGATAAAAACAGCATTCTGCAAGTTCAGCCAACAATGATGGCTAGTGCCTGGTGTCAGATTTACAGAATCATACAGCTGGAAGAAACCCTTTAAACCATTCAATCTAACTCCCTGCTCAGAATAGGAATTCACATTAAACCATTCCCAGTAGACAGTTGTTCACCCTGTGCTTATAGCGCATCCAATGAACGACGGTTCTGCTCCTTAACTGTTCTTACTGGTAGGGAGTTTCACCTAACAGAGTCACTTGGAAAAGTGAGATGGACGGCTAATAGATTGTGTAAATAAATAAATAAAACAGAACTTGTATTTTAGGAACTAGCAGACTCGGTGATGCAGAAAGACAAGTCAGAGTCATATTTCAGGGCTCGTGATTTAAGGTTATTGGGCAATGCTTCAACCAGAAAAATGCACAGAAGTATTTCAGCAGTGGCATTACCATTCTTAGAACTTCCCAGCAGAGACATGACATGCACTGTTCTCCATTTGTGTTAACATTCCTTGGCCCATGGAAAACATGTTTTCTTCCCACTTTTAAGTATAATGCACTTCTCCCCTTCCCTAGTGTTATTATTAAGGTACAGTATTACTTCTTTTTGCTGGATCTGAGATGGGTATTGTGCCTCAGAGAACTGAATTATGAAGAACGCACATGTGCCTACATACACACACACACACACACACACACACACACACGCATAGGAGAGGAAGATCTGCCAGTTTCTATTTTCCTCAATTTCTCACTTTTGTGAATCTGATTTCTATCAATTTCTCATGTTTCTGTTTGTTAAGTTTTATTTGGTCCCTTCCTTTCATACTGTTTTTAAAAGTTTATGTTAATAAATGCAAGTTTGCATTTTTTTTTCCCTGCACATTTCTCTAAACATGAGTTTTGTTTGCATTTTGCCTAATGGATACATTTTTTGCAAATAATTTTGCCTGCTATACCGCTGATGCATTTTTACATTCTTTTCATGAATATGTGGCTAATATGAATTATTTTAAATAGGTGCACTGACTTGCAAAATTCAAGGAAGTACTCATTTCAAATATTTGGTCATTGAGCATAATAAAGGATTTGTATGGCTATCGCCAGTTTTAAAGGAATGACAGAGTTTTGATCCATATTGGATTCAAAAATGCAAAATTAAGTAAGTTCTTCTTCCAGTGCAGAATAAACAAATATCTTCCCTATTCTAAATATGTATGGTAAACTCCGGAAATTTTACTGCACTGTTCTGCCGTAGAAGCCGTCCACAAAACTCCCCTGTGTAAATAACAAAAACACTTCTCTAGAGTACAGACGATAGAAGTGGGACATTCTAAGCTTCTATTGCCCATGAATGGGCAATCCATGATCTGCTGGCACAGGTTATCATAAGAAACCCCACTGTCATGCATATCATGAGCTCATTAAAAAAAAACCTTGCGTCAGTCAAAGTGTACAATGACATAATGATATATGTGACGTCACTTGCCCCTTTTCGCCTGAGGTTTTTGTCTCAGTACTAATCACGTGGAATCCGTGGAAACCCTGGAAAAACTTACTGTACATGCTACCCAGGGCTTCCCTGAATACAGTTTGAAAGTTAGTGCAATAAGAAATCATTATTCAAAACAGGGGAAATATTGGCATTTCTTTTGTATTTATCAGGCCTAGGCAACTTGATCTTCAAGTTCTTGTTGAATTCTAACTCCCATTGGCCCAGTAAGTATGCCTAATGATCAGGACAATGGGAGTAAGTTTCCAGATTAGAAAAAGCCAGGCTAGATGAACAAAACTACAGGCAAAGTTAGTCATTTTTTTCTTAAACTTGTTTTGATGCAAATTCTACGGTATAGTCTGTGTTGTCCTACATTCAACAATGTAATGTAACATTTTTCATACAAATGGAAGGCTCTCAAAGTGTACCAAAGTCTCCAGAGCACAATGTGACAAACTCTCCTAAATAATATACATGCATATAATTTACCTCTGGACTTACCTTTAAATAAAAAAGAGTAAAATTCAAAATGCTGTATTTTTTGCAGTGACATAATTAAAAGTATCAATTAAGCAGAATTTTGGAATAAAATAATGGTCCATCATTCAGTCTGTGGGCATAATTTTTTATTCAAAATGAAAATTTCAAGAAGCAAAATGGTGTTGAGAATCTTTTTGTTTATGTTTATTATTTTTTTAATCAAGGGTTATCCATCCATACAGTAATAAGAGCAGCCTGTGATGGTATCCATAATCTATAAGAAAAGCAAACCAAAATGTATAGGTTAAAAAAAAGGGGGGGGGGAATCAATTGATTAAAAAATGGACCTTTTAAAAAAATGTTCAGTTTGAACATTTTCAGCTCATTCATGCATGAGAATTAAGGTCCCATTTAATCACTGCTAAAGGCAAATATTGTTTATTAATGTTACTTATCCACCAATTTTGACCATTTTTGTACTGATATTTTTGCTGCAACTGAATTATTCTTGAATAGCCACTCAGCCCCTTTAAGCGAAATACAATTAAGCATTATACTGTTGATCAGATGATGCTACAAACTAAGTGGGAAAACTTATAAAGCCAATCATTATAGTATTTTCAGTAATATTTCCTTAACTTTCTAAAAACGGCACAAAATCCTAACAGAGACCAAGGAATGATTTATCTTTGTCTTGTCCAAACTGACACCTCCCCCATTCCCCAATTTATTGACACTGTAATACCCAGAATTTACAGGTTGAAACATCTTGGAGATTTTTATCATTCTGATCTCTGTGTGAGGTGACTATCAAATACATTTTCTTTTTAGTTACATTACATCCAACAAATATTTAATAAATCTCTGAGTTTATGTAGTAATAGACTAATCATTAAAACATACAAGACTTCACACTATTCTCAGAGTGATTTTACGTTAGACCATTTTAAAAATGCAATAATATCCCAATAAAAACATATAAACGGGGATAAAACCATAAAACCTTAAAGACCTAACCCTAAACACTCAGAACAATGCTAAGAGAATAAAAAGGTGTTTTTCTGGTGGGCATTTGTTGGAGGGGGAGTGAATCTTGATGAATGTGTGAATGATGTGAATCATGATGTCACTGCACAAATTGTGACATTTGAACGGTGATATAGTAACCCATGAGACGTCATCACGGCTTGTACCGGCCCACCTATGGGAGTTAGAAAAATAATAAGGCAGATACTAGGCAGTGTTCTCTGAGTCTCAATTGCCTCACCAAAGACAGAAATGAACAACTGAAAGAAGGTTTGAATTTCTCAAATTTGACTTTTCCCAACTTGTAGCACTTTCACCTACAGGAGAGATAGTTGCATATTTAACCAATTAACACACAAAACTCAGCTGGGGAGAAGGCAAAACTACAGTCCTTTCTTTTATTGATAGGTTCATTTGAATTGAGCAGGATTTTTCCTTCGAGTTCAGAAAACATTGTTACATCCAACATCCAACATGGAACATTCTGGAAAAGTCATTGGTCCAAAGTTCTACTTTTGTGCAGCTGAGATGAGATCGGAGGCAACAACAGACAGACCTCAGCAGATGGAAAAATGAAGTCAAAGCAGATGTCAAATTTAAAATGCAAAGAAGGAGAGAAACATAAGGGCCCCAGAGGGAAAAGAGCATTTCTATAGGATGCCTAAAGCCGTTCTCATAAAAGAAGCCAAGGACCTCTGGTTTTGCGTGCCACAATTATGCCTCCAAGCGATCTAAATATATGAGTTCTCTCTGTAGCAAATCAGGGAGTAGCCCGCAAGCCTGGGAAAGCGGTTTAGCTAATGGCACCAACATTCCCAAGCAAGACGTTACTCCGGGTGCTATGCTTTTTGCCTATCTCTTAATTGATTTCTTAGCAAATAGCCTTTCTGTGTGTGCCAGTATAATATCCACAAACCAGGATATTTCCAGGTGTGGGTGAAAGTCTGTATAGTAAATGCTGCAAATTGCACAACTTAGTAGTGGTGTTTAGCACTTGACAGACAGTATCGGACACTGTATTGGACCGTACTGCTGATGCTGTCTGGGAGTTTTTTAGGAGCTGCAGCCCAGCAAGCCTGCAGGAGAAAGGGAAGGCTGTTCTCA